ACTGCAACAGGGTTCCCAAGTGAGTTTACATCATCAGCTAAAATACAGCATCTATTCAATCCATAAAATGAAGGAAGAACTAAAAACCTGATCCACCGAAAGTATAGTTCCACAAAAGAAACAGAGAAAGAAAGGAAAGGAGGCTTTAAGGGAAACCAATAACATAAGAAAATGGAAACGTAGTTACCAGGTGCTGAAAAGCCAATAGGGAAGGGTCTGACTATGTTTCCTGAAGAAAAGAACCCCACAATCTGGGTGCCACAGCCAGAAATGTTCTGTTGCACATCCTCTTCAGCCAAGCTTCTAACGACAGTGGGACAGAGAGTCTCTTATGAAAAGTGCATTGGGTGGGCAGGAGAAGGCGGCCCTTCAAAGATACCATCCTATGTTGTGTGTGCTATGTTGGATGGTCATGTGGGGACACAGGAAGCTACCTCATACCAGGTCAGGCTATTTTCTTATCTGGACCAGTACTGCCTCCTCTGATCGGGAGTGGCTATTTCAAGTCTAGGCTGGGACCTTCTGCATACAAAGAACATGCTCTGTCACTAAACTAGAGTCCCTCCCCAACGCTTTGCAAAGTAAAAGCACTCTGCATCTTCTAGTATATTACATGGCAGTTTATGGTACAAGCTCAGGGATGCTGGAATGCCAAACTACATGTAGCAATGGGATCCACTTCTCCTATAATACAGTCTTCCAGGGTTGTTGCCTCAGGCTCTGAACCAGAACTGGTAGAAGAAGCAGGATTGGAAGGCTTGGCTGAAGTGCCATGGCCAACCAACCCCGAGGAAAGAGAATGTGGGGGGAACCACACAGCTCTGAGTTCTGTGGGAAACTCAGTTTAGCATATAGAGATGTGCGTGGGTGGACTAAACATCATCGGTCCAATTGCACAGTGTTGGATAAAAGGCCAGACCAATGGAGAGGCATCAGACATTCTTGGTGATTTGGCCATAAGCAGAAAGAACCGCCCTGAAGGTGGAGGAAGCTCCTTTTGGTTCAGAAGGGAGGAGAGGTATTCAGTTTAGAATCAACTTTGTATCATTAAGCCACAGTTCCCTAAGAGCTACTTTCTAACTTCTTATGTCTTTGGTTACTGAATCTGTGTTCAATTACTTACTTTTCTTCTTATTAAAAAAATTCTGTAGAAATTCTCAGGACAGGTGGGAAAACAGATAAAGGAATCATTATCTGGAAGCCTTTCTAAGGATGCTTACAAATTTACTGGGGGAAAGCAAATATTATTTGAAAGATACTGTACTAGTTTAATCAACCTCTCTTCCCCACAGTAGAATGACAGCAATTCCAACTTTCCTTCTTACCTGTCTTGCTATGAAGACTATGAAAGCAACTCAGTCTCTTCAGGCAAAAAAGAAACACCCTCTCACTTATGCTGAAGTGTCTGTTTCGGTTTCCAGTGATTAAGGAATAAGGGGAGTGCCTGCCTTGCATCTAGAAATAGATCACGTAGAGAGATGAGGAGATGACATACATAGATGCTCTTCCCATCGAGCAAAACTGCTGTTAGAAAAGCTCAGAATGATTACACCAGAACAAGTGGGGACCTGTAAGAAGCTGCCTGGTTCCCTTCAATCCAGCTCTGAGCCCAAGCCCTAGGAGAGCTTCTCTGCTGCCAACATTCCAGGACTGCCCAAAGCCCTCATAGTGAGAACGCAGCCTGTCTTTTCCTTTTCTGTTCCCCCTCGCCACGTCCAAATTATGCATAACTCAGAAGACCCTTCAGGATGGAGAAGCCCATTCTTTGTCTTTTCCTCCATTTACTTGCCCAGTAGATCTTCACACGTGACACCCTCCTTTACTAGTTGGGGTAAACAATCTCTCATTTTAATGGATGTTTTATAGGTCAACACCAACGAAAGAAGAAACTTCTCCAGCATGGTCTGAAGGATACCTCCAGCAGAAAACGTCAGCAAACCAAAGTTAGCACTTCCTGAAACTAATAGCTAAAATATTTCTAAAGCAGCTCAAGTTTAAGCCTGCAATGCGGCTAGTGAAATGAACTGAGCAGCTCTGTTAGGCAGCTGCAGACTTGGTAGAGAGCCTCAATTGTTTCTTCTTCATCCATTTCTGAAACCAACACATATATCAAACAGGAATGCCCTTGTTCAAATACTTGATGTTTGTTTACTGAACGTGATAAGGCAATTGCAAATGTGTGTATGAGCATGCCTGGAATTACTGTCATTTTCAAAAACTATGGAATAGTTCCAAGTGCCTCCAAAGGAGTTATTTGTATGTTATTTTGTCATCTCTGATTGCACAAAGAAAGCCACTTCTTTCAAACAGATGCATTCCAAACCCATAAAAGTTGTAAATACATTGGGCATGGAAAAGAAGAGTACAATCCTCCTAAGAGCCAATGTAATGCAGCGATTCATGTGTTGTTGGGATTCAGGAAATCCAGGTTCTAGTCCCTGCTTGACCATCGATTTTATTGGGTGACTTTGGGTCAGTAACTGACTCAGCCTAACCTACCCCATATTGCTGTTGTGATGAACAAATGGAAGAGAAGAAGGTTTGTATGAGCTGCCTTGGGGGGAAAAAAGCAAGACAGAAATATAATAAATAACATAAAAACCCACTGTTGTGGTCAGAGCTTTACTGATACTTTGTAAATTCCATCAGATTGGATCTCCAATAGGAAACTCCAATTACAGTACAAAATTAACACCCTAGATTCCAAAACAATTTGCAAAAATTGTGAAGAACAAAGTTATCAGCGTTTCAGTTTGACCAATTCCATTCTACTGATGTCAAAAAAGTCAAATTTTCATCATTATAGAATAATTACTAGTATGCCAAGGGCAGAATCATGTTACCTTTCACCTAGAACTTCTTTTGGACAAGCATGCTTCCTATAACCAAACAAATCTGTAGCATATGAGGAAATGTGAATTTTGCAGTGCCTGAAATGTGTAGTTTCAAACTAAGCCTAAGGCTACAATCTAGTGCATGCTTAACTGGATTAAGTACTGCTGGACTTCAGGAGACTTTTCTGCAAAACAGGAAAGAGGAAGGGAACGTGACTGCCATGTGGTTTCTCAGGTTAGTCATACTTAAGTTCCCCAGAAATCCTTGATTTCATTATTTCTTTATTTTCTATTTTCATTTTCCTTTCCATCAAGGGCAGCACACCCAATGCCCCCATTTTGTCCTCACAACAAACCTGTGATGTAGATTGGACTGCAAGCAATCAGCCCAATGACCTCCAGCGACTTTCACTGTTGAGCAGAGTTTGGAACCTGGGTCTCCTCCCAGCCTAATTATACTACATGGGCTCTCAGTGAAGACTTGTAACTTGTCATTAACTTGTGTCACTGACTGAAGTAGACTTAAACCTGTCCATCTCTAGAATGCAGAAAAAGTGTTCAGAGCATGACCTACAGGCAATTTTAAGACTTTGGGCTGGATCCAACAGTGTCCATTCACTAACAGCACTGCCATTTCAATAGCAGAAACCCACACTCATGCAAGGTTAATAGCATTTGCTTGAACGATGGGTTTCCTAGGGATATTAATACACTAGCAAGCCTACTGATGTGACAAAAGTGTTAGTTTCCCTCTTGCACGACATCAATATCAATGGCATATAAAAACCAACTTGATCAAGACTAAAATTCTATTCAATGGAGACATATAACACAAGCCTCCTTGTGATATCTAAATATCTTGTGATGATCTCTTTTGATATCTAAATAATGTGATAAAGATTTTTCAGTGCAAGTACATTAAAGCAAAGTTTTGCTCTTTGAGAAAAGAGATTGTTCATAAAATGGATGACCTTCCAAGTTAACACTAATCTTCTCAAGTGAAAATGGGCAGAATCAAATCAAAGTTAAGCACTTTTAAAAAGTCCTGTTCATTTCACACTGCCTGATGTGCACCTGCTGAAATCAATAGAACAATGTGAGCTGAATCATGTCCAAATGGTCCAGTTGGCTTTATAGTAATCCCTCATGTAAGACCTAAAAATACTCCTGTGAACAACTCATTCCATGATAGTGAAAACAAGAGGAGGTTTTCAAAAAAAGCATATTGCATTTAAAGGTTACCTGGCTAGAATATTTAGCTAGGGCATCCCAAATCTACAAATACCATTTGGGTTATCTACCTGTCCTGAGCGTATCTTCTGTCCACTTTTCCCGCACAGATTAGGCAGTTGTGCACTCAAAACAGAATATACACATCAGCACAGAACGAGTTCACACAGCACACTATGGCAGTGCAAACCTTTCGCGCTGTCTCACTGATCCACACTGCTTTCACAGCTCATTTTAATCTTCAAAACAAATATGGAACTCAAGCCCAAGAGAGCCTTCCTGCTCTTCTCCCATCAAAACACGAGTTACCCAACAGGAGACAAAACAGGCAGCGCTGGATACATGTTTATTTCATTTTCATCTCACACGGCTCTGCTGAAGGCCTCAAATCTCTATCAGGCCTGTAACCTTTTGTCATTTGCCTCCACAGACACAGTTAACTGGATACCCTCCTGACAACCCCAACCCACACACACTATCACAGCTTCTGCCATCCCATAGGCCTCGATAATTATGTATGAAATCAGCCAGAGAATCGGGGAAGAGGAAATTATTCAGCCACTGCAGATATTTTAGTATGCAGACTGTTATTAAAAAGCAAACTTATTCCATCCATAGCAAAGGACAAGGGGAATTAGACAGGACCTCTGAGGTGCAATATTTTTCCAGAAAGTACATATGTTGCCATTAGGGAGCATGTTTAGGTGAAAAGTGGGCAGCAAGAAAACAAGGGAAAAAGAAAACTACACCCTTGCCACAGCTTTAACATTAGAAGTAATATCTAGCAGGTAAAATTCAGTAGTGATCAGTATTACCACCACACTTCCCTTATGTTCCCCCCATATAATTCCCACCTCCTTAGCTACTCCTCCATCTGCCCCCCACCTGCCTCTATCACCTGCCCTTCAGCCCAGCATATCCCTTGTCTATTTATACCTGTCCTTGCTTCTTCTTCCTACTCTGACAACCATCAGCACCTTCCCGCAGGGAGGCCAAAGGCAGCTGCCTCTGCCGCTGCTGTCCTACTCCAGGGCGACGACCGACCCAGCAGCAACTCCCAGGCCAGAGCTGGCTGTGCTTCTGAGCGCAAGTCGGCTACTGCAGGGATGTCAATTCATCCCACACTGAAGCCTGGTACCCGCCCTGGAGGAGGGACTGAGAGAAGACAGACAAGAGTTAGGAGGGGGAATCAAGGGGAGATCAGGCAGCCTCACAAGGAACAACGCTGCCACCCCGAAGCGATGGTGGCTCTGTCAGCAGCATCCACCTGCATGTGTCCCCTTTCGCTCTTTTTCAAAACTGTACAGAAGCGTGGGCTGCAACAGCCACCGGAGGCAGGCTCAATCCGGAAACTCGATGAAGGCTGCTGCTAGCGAAAAATTAAGAAAGTGGCAAAACACTTATTATGGGAGTTGCACAAACTACAGATGGTTATCACAGCGGACTAACATAACTAAACCTCAGGGTGGTTTAATCAGACATTATGTCATAATCGCAAAGAAATTAACTGGGTCTCATTGTTTAAAACGGAAGGTAGCATGTCAAGCTTGCTGATAATTGTCCCTTATTTATTCATCTTGTGTTTATCCCTTTAGTTGTGTCTGCTGGAAGGGCTTGAGAGTGCTCAGTTGTGTGTGAGAGTGAAGGAGGTCATATCATTATAAAAATGCAAGAAAAACTATGCACCCTTTTCACACAGCTATTGGTATGTGTCTGATCAAAAGAGCTTTTGCTGCATTCTGTTCACACAGTGGCTGACTTGCTGCCCACAGGCAACCCACCTGCCAGTCTAAAACTGCCATTATGGCCAAGGAAGCTGGGGATAATGGGAAGTGTATTCTAACACATCTAGAGAGAACCAGGTTGGGGAAAACTGTACTATCAAGTGGTATAGTATCTTATTTTATTCAGTATGAGCCAGTATAGTCAAGAAGCCTCACAGGCAAGAGATGCGAGAGCAAATGTAGTTCTGCCATCAGTGTGCATCCTGCACTGCTAAAACCTTATTTCCTGAGCCATTTTACCTGCTGGGTTACACATTCCCTGCTTCCACAATGTTTTCCAATGAAACCCCTCCCAGCTGTTCTTTGTGTATTAGCTAAATTCTCTGTGCATTTCCCCTAAAGCAAGAGTGAGTTCTCCAAAGACCACAATGTCTTGCAGGCTGCATCCCAACAGTGAGTGAGGCAGAAGCCAGCAGTAGGTGGGGCCAGAACAAAAAGTGCGGAGTACCACTCCTTTTCTCTGGCTGTTTCCAACATCCCTTTATCTCCTTTTCTCTGCCTTCCTCCCTGCCCACCATACTGCTGGGAGAAAGACAGATCACTCTTGCTACAGTCACCTTCAGAGGGCTTCTGAAATAGGCCAAGGAAGACATACATCCCTAGAACCACTGGTTGCTCTCACCTCTCTCCTGCAGGGACCAATACATTTCATGGAGAAAAAGGATACTGCAGGAAAGAGTTAAAACATCTTCCTCTGCACTGAAGTTCCAATTCAACTTAGGGGCTCTTCTTTGCTGCCCAGTTGATAGAAGAAAAGGTTTAGTTTTAGTTTTTATTAAACTAAAGGTTTAGTTTTAATAAAAACTAAAACTAAACCCCCAGTTCTTGAATACGCCCTATTTTAGCTGGGTTATGCCTCTCTTCCTGCTATCTTCAGAAACGAGTAGAGAAGGGGCAAGCACAATATGTGAAGGGGCTAGAATTGGTTCAGACAATGGTTGAAATGTAAAGTCTGATCACCTATCTCCACCACCTTGTCCAGTGAGGCCCATATATTGCTACTGGGCATTGTTATAATTGATTAGGTATCGGAGCAGTACACCTGTTCACTCCCCCAGCAGGCTTACAACTCTAATATTAACCTTTTAGCCAGAACCCTCAGAAGCAGATGTTTCTTCAGTGGAAGTGTGTTAGGATGTACAGGACACTTTACACTGGAAACCAATCTGTAATTGTCAACCCCAAAAATAGTTTAGCACAATTCTGAAAGAATCTAAGGCCACGGACTAGACTGATGATACTGCTATCAGATGAAATCATATCACACCGTGCGTTCCAGAGCCCTCCCTCAATGGGCACCAAAGAAAGTGCAACCAGAATGCAGAGCTGCCAACTGTTTGGCACCCCACAGCCCTTTAAATCAAGGTAGCAAATAGCATCCTCTCTCAATGTTTTGGTATACAACTCCCATAGTTCCTGGACAATAGCCTTGCTGTCAGGGGTTGACAGGAGCTGCAGCTGGAAACACCAGGAGGACACCAGGCTCCTGGTCCTGATTTAAGTTAAGTGCTCCAACTTTCATAATAGTGAAGGGTGCTTTGTTTTAGTTCCTCCAAATGAAGTTTTCAGCTCACTATACCTCTCTTTATAGACCCTCCCCCTTTTCAATTCACTATGCATATTTTGAGACAAAGGGTATTCTCTAATGTAACAACAATACACTTGTGCAGCATTCAGAAGAGATACTACAAATGTGACCTGTGCCCATACCTAGCACCCTGGAGCAGCCCTGCACTTTTAATGCATTCTTTGGGCCCCACTTTTAAAAACTGTCTTGGACTCCAAGCAGCACCAGGTCATGGGATTCAGCAGGTGTTTCTAACATCCCACAAGGCCCCCAGTGTTATGCCATTCCAGAATATTGTGGGAAACTAAAAGAGAGGTTAGAGCCAGCTGCCCAGTCCAAGCACTGCCAGAGCTCTCATGATGGCTCACAGAACAGAGAAGACAAGAACATTTCCAGAGAAGGCCTGCAAACAGCCTCCCCTAACCTAGAGCCAGCCCTGGCTAAGAACAAGAATGAGAAATCAGTATTGTTGAAATGGTGAAATGGTGTTAACAAAAGGAGAGAAGCCACACCTCTACCATTCTCATGAATGCGATTGATCTCTGACACACAGACCCAGAGGAAGTATAAACGGCATGCAAATAAATGCAAATCATTTGTTGCAAAATGAAATAGCTCTCATCTCACAAAATACAAGGCATACATTTCAGTCTAAATGGACCTTTCTTGGTCAATATGAAAGTAGTTTTGAGCCCTACTGAATTTCACCATATTTATCTTTGGTATTAAGAGAGTGTCCTCATTCTGCATTGTCAAAGCACAGACTCCAAATAATATTCCTTATTTCAGAATTACAATATCTCAAAATGAAAGCAATTTCCCATTTACTTGTTTTTCCCTTCCTATCCCAGAACAGCACCCGCATATCTTAATTCCCAATAAAGGGCTTACAAGAGACTACCAGCAAGCCAGAAGACACGTTTACCCCTCGACAGTGTGGTCATTTAAAAAATGCTGGTTGTCTAAAACCTGGCTAAGAAGCCGCACTTGCCAAAATTCCCCCTTCTACATATCTTGCCAAAGCTAAAGGAGCTTTTGCGTGGCCTCACCCAACCCTAATCCAGATATGTGCAATACTCAGCAGGGCAACAGAAACACATTACACGTGTTCAGAGCTACGTTAAGAGGCAGAGCACTAATGTTAACTGTTTGCCTGGCGAGACTTTTGTCCAAAAGCAGCAGTACTGCACCAGTCCAGTTGTAATCCCCAATCAGGATGAATGATGTGTGGGCGGGAGGCACGCAGTTTGCTTCGCTTCGGCCGTCGGGATTCCCCCTCGGAAAGGCCCCTCGCCCCGAGGCTTGGCGGCCGCTTTGTGACTCAGCGCAAGGGGGAGGAGACCTGAGGTGATCCCTCCTGCCAATCAGGGGGCAGCCTGGCCTCAGCCGAACACAGCTGGCAGGAAGAAGGCGGGGCCGCGAGTCATTCGAGAGCAGATTGGGTGGCGCGTTGGAATGTTGTTTGCATGAGTTTTCCAGGCACGTGTCATGTAAACACCAGTGTCCCCGGGCTGGTTGTGAAAAATCGCTGCGATCGTGGAAGGCGGTGCCTTAATCCAGAGACCTAATAGCTAACACCGAAAATTATAACAATAGCGGGTTGTTTTGATTGTTGTCGTTAAAAAAAGAGAGGAAGATTTGCTTTTTCATTAAAAGGGCGAGGTAGGGCAGCCAAGAAAGGACGTCCTTTAATCGTCAGCTTGGCTTACCTGGCAGAAAGGAAGATTGCGGAACCTTCAGAGCAGGTTCTATATGCGAGCAAGTCCCACTGAGTTCAATGGGACTTACTCCCTGGAAAATGGGTGTAGAATTGCAGCTTTGTCTGGTAATGCAATCCTGTGTTTGCTCCTCTGTACAGCTACTGGGTGGTAGATCCTACCGCGTTCAATGGGGCTTAGTCCCAGTTAAGTGGGGCTAGCAGTGCAGTCCCATCTCTCGAGTAATATGACACTGTAACCCTACAATCCTACTCAGAGGTAGGTCTCGTTGAATTTAAATAGGACTTACTGCCAGGTAAGTAGGTTACCTACTAAACAGTCTAAATATGATAGCCAGACTTTTTTTTCCTTCAGACTAACAACCACTCCTCTGTCATAACCTGCAGATTTCAATAGCAGCAACGAGAATATTATCTCACGCATTATAACCATATTGTAGGGTAAAAAAAATGTTGAGAGACACAGGTTTGTTTAAATTCCCCATCGAGTAGCAGCTAAGGGGCTCAACATAAAGATGAGTCTTTGTTTATGATGCAGGGCAGAGGATTTCAAGACCATCCTGTGCCACCCTACACTTGTTCACGGAGAAGTATGGCCCACTGAATTCAATGGGACTTAATCCCAGGTCAGTACAGGATTGATCAGATAGTTTTACAGCACTTCCCTCCTTACAAGCCCAGTGGCTTTGTGTGTATGTTTTATTTTATATTTTTCCATTACGCCATCACTTCCCTTTGTCTGATATAAAATCAAGCAGCAGCAGCAGCAAAGCCTGGCCTTGGGTAGTTTCAAAGGGGAGGGTCAGTGCAAGACAGCATGCCACTGAGTGCACCAACTGCTCTGAGACACGAATTTTGAAATAAAGAAAGAAGTGAAGTCTGCTGGAGTGTGTACGATCTTCACATTTGCACAAAGAAGTAGCAAGGGCGAGAGCTTGGTCAAGACAGAAACAGAACAGAGGGACACAGATTAAAAGAAGGGAAGGAGAACACAAAGGTTTTTAACATCTGTGTAGGAGTGCA